TCTTTGTTGAAATGAAGATTTTTACAAAGGAAATAAGTTTCCTTATCTAGACATTGAAATGTAAATATGCAAGAAGATAGGGATGAAAACAGGAAGAAATGCCCATCTCAGAAGGAATCAAATGTAAAGAGAATAAGAGATATGATGAATTATAACCAGAAAACACCACAAAACTTTAGATACATGACTAGAACTCAAAAAATGTAAAGCAGATGAGAGAACTGAAGAAAAAAATGCTTTTTTTCGCTACAAGCTACACGTGGAAAAAAGAAAATATGGCTGTATACTTTACCCTTGTCAACAGGGTTTAATGTAAAAGGATATTTTATGTAATTATTTCAATCTTAAACTTACTTCATTTCAAAATAGGTATTTTATACACTCTAGATTGAATGAACATAACAAAGTAATTTTAAACCATTCGTTTTTATTGTTCACTTTCCAACCTGTAGTCCACGTCTTGGGGTTTCCTTTCATTTCCCTGTTCACAAAGCTACTTCCAATGACTACCCTTTTCTAAAGTATATAATTCCATAACCTCCTAGCCTCTGATAGCTAGCTTAGTTAAGATCTCACTACAGCTGTGGAAGAGGTCCTTATTTTAGTTCTACATGGATGGCACCCTCTATTTCAATCGTAGAAACCTGTTCTTCCTTGATATTAGACAAATCTTCAGAAACAGGATCCAGCTCTAAAGGCTCTTCATATGTTAGCTCGCTTTCTGAAGTCGATTTTAATTTTACCACGGGGATGTCTGTCGTCTAGGAAAATTGATATTCAGCAGATACATCCTCTACCAGAGACTGTGTTTGTTTAGATGGTGGGGGCTGAAGTTCCTCAGGGTTGTCTTGTATCGAGATTTGTGTAATACAGGCTTCTTCAGATGGTGGAGGCTGTTTGTCATCAAGGACCATTACTAAAGTAGGTTCTTCAGGTGGTGGAGACTGAACTTCAGCTGGGGCGTCTTATTCAGGAGCATCCTCAGCTGGTAAATATTGAACTTCTGCAGAGGCCTCCTCAGCTGGTAGAGA